GTTTAATTAGTTGTTTAGTACCTGGTTCAAGCGCCTACTACCTGTCCTAAACCGAAACCCATCTGGCCTGGATTGTCCGAGAGTGAGCGCCGAAGCCGAAAGCTAACAAACAACACACCACCCGCAGCTGGGAGCAAGTAACTCCGCCAACACCCACAGAAGGGGGGTGGCCAAGAAACTGTGACTCCTCCAAGCCGAACTCCGCCCATCCAGAAAGCGGAAGGGGTCCTTGTCTGGGGGAGCAAACAGAGGGGGAGGGGTCGGGAACATTTGTAGCTGTACTAGCACTTGCATTTGCTTTAATGTGCATGTGAGTATTTGGCTACGTATGTATGTATGTATGTATGTGGCTCCTATGTGATGCAGGAGACCGAGGAGGCCTTCGATTCCATGAGTTATGATGCACGACAGCTGGTGACATTTTCGGTCTTTCGCAACTTCAGTGGGACGGTGTGGACCAAGCCATCGTTGTGGAAGATGATGGGCATCCTTTTGATGATTGCTTGTGCGACTGCCTCGATTGTGGTCGTTTTCACCAAAGACCCTGCAAAGCTCGATGTGGGCAGGTTTTCTCGTATCAGCTCCTTCTTGGAAGTTGTCGTGGGTCTTCTCCTCGGTTTCTTCCTTTCCAGCTCTGTTCAAAGATGGTACAATTGCAACCTGTCGGTCCAACGACACCCTGTTTTCTTAACGCTGTATGCCCAAAAGTTGAGGGTGGTTACCTTTCATTGTGTATGGTTTGGAGCTACTGCCTGCAGGTATTCCTTGCATCCCAATTAGAAGGCTTTTGATTTGTATGTAATTTTTCAGCAGCTCAGGCACGAACGGCTTCTTGGAGCTCTTTGATGCAATTCGCGGCTTGCACATGCAACTCAATGCTGTGGGTGTTCCTCGCGATCGGGTGCACTTGTGTCTTCGCTACTGCGTCGTCTCCGCGCACTGCTTGGATCATGATCTGATTGCGTCGGCTATGTCTCCAGAAGACCGCCGTGCATACTTGAAGGAGCGCTGGGTCGAGTTGACGTGCGAAGATGAAAGTGGAGTCGCGTGGAAGGATCAGACCAAAAGTGTCGCCAAGCTGTTGCCTGCTGAGAAGAAGATATTAGAATCCATTGAAGATCCAGCGCAAACACTCTGGGTGTGGATTACATCTCTCCTCACTCGCATGGCTGCTGACGGAGAAATTCCGCCTATGGCCACTCCCACATATGGACGCATCATCACCATGGCGGAACAAGCTTACACGGGAATTCGCACAGTACGTGCATCGGTTCGAGTTCAGCCACCGTATGTCCATGTTCAGATGATGGCGGCACTTGTTCTGGTGAACAACATCATCAACGCGATCAGCTTCGGCATGACTTCCGGAGTGACGTTGAGCACGGTACTTGCTAATAGCCGCATGAGCCCCTTCACCAGCAAGTCTGCAAATGCGGCCGAGGTGTCTCACTCGCTGCAAGACTTGACAATCGCCTTAGTCCTTGCCACAGTGGGACCCTTCCTGTACCAAGCTCTTCTCGAGGTGGCCGTGTGCATCGCCCAACCCTTCGCTAGCGCTGGCAAGGATTCCAAATCCCCTGGCCGCATTCCGACAGAGAAGCTCTTGGGCAACCTGGAGAAGGACTAAATCCGAACATCTCTGGTCACGCGTGTCTTAATTCACTAGACAGTTTCATGGATGTGTCTGTGCGGCAGGACTTGAAGGACATCGAGTTCATGAGCTCCAGCCTGCCGTGGTGGCAGCAAGCCTATTTCAAAAAGCCCGAGGCGGCATAGCAGGTCGGTGTGAGCCAGGCAATAGATCCAGTGAGCACTGCACCAGACTGAATGCTCAAATGAGGAAAAAGCTGGGTTCAGGCAGCTTTTAGGAAGGCAGTGCTGAATAGAGAGTTGCTCTGCAGCAGGGCTGCGTAAGCACAGCCGGTGTGGCGGGATGGTATGCTGCCTTCACCGTGAGGGATTATTAGGATGTAGGCAGATAGAGAGACTGTTTGTCTTATGTTTCTGTTTCTGCTGGCGCATGGCAAGATTGATGGGTTCAAGGAGCTTTCGAAGTGTGCTCGGTTCTACCCTCACCACTCCAACACCGGTGGCTTCTTCGCATGCACCCCAGGATGGGCATGAATGTAGTGGGCAGATGCGTTCAGATCTATTGTTCGGTTGCACGATCAGGTTGCAGTTTTCAGAAAAGCCGCTGCGCCTTCCGATGTTGTCCAAGGTGCTCATTTCACGTCTCATGTGATGTTTTCGAATGAGAAGTCCGACATGATGTGTTTTCGGTGTAGAGCGTAGTGTGGTCATTCTGGCATTCAGGTCCTCGTGCTCCGCCAGCTTCTCAATGTGAAGGCCGTGGAGGGCATCCTCTTCTCAGCGACCCGGCTCGCATGAGAATCCGTTTGATCCGGCAGCGTTCACAGTAGTCATCTTCGGCGATTCGGCGCAGCCTGGAAGCCACCAAGGTGCAACATTTCACCGTGTCTCGGAAAGCGACAGGGAGTGGCAAGAGCTCAGAGAATTTTACGGCGTCGATGCCGCATGGAGCCAGGACTTCAGTCAGCTGTTTGCAGATGTCAGACATCGTTAGACAGGGTTTGTGGAAATGGAGGACAAGCTGAAACGTGGCTTGCTCCTCTGGCAGACAATGAAAGGCAAAACGCAGCCAGAAAGGATTACTTTAGTACCTCGACGTGAAGGAGGTTTTATTGCAGTCCTTTCATTCTGCTCAACATTTGCATGTCCTCTCCGTCGCCCAGGTTTCCGAGGCCGGTTCTGGATCGTGCAGACATCTTGAGTCAGATGCCAACGCAGCAAGGAGTGGCAGAACAGCCACGGCAATTGCTCTTGTGTGCAGAGGAACACCAGAATCGGTATGCTGTTGGTGTCACATCCGGCAGTCTGCTGAAGTCAGGCAGTGGCCCGGCTCTTCAATGCGGTCCCCGGTGATGGCCGTCGCGCCTTTTTGTTGCACCAGCTACCAGTTGTAGGTCGAAGTTCACGAAAACTATGCCTTCGCTGAGAGGTTGCCTGGGCTCGGATGGGCGTTTTCCTCTTCGAGCATCTTCCGAAGGACAGGTGGCATGTGCTTGGTCAACTGGCATAGTGTCTCGGGACGTCGATGCACCGAGTGTGGTGCGCGCAGTGTTCGTGTAGCTCAGCTTGGGAATGCTCTTCCAGTGGCATCTCGATCTCGAGCTCGTGCTTTCCGAAACTTCGAACTTGCTGTCAGGGACTTCTTGCTGGTGGCGTGGCACCATGTCGATGGCGACCACATGCAGAGGCCCTGACCTGGCAAGTGAACGTGCGAGCTCTACCCGAATGATAGCCTAAGTGACTAGGGGAAGTGGTAGGCCCCCTTCGGTTCCTTCCCCCCGCCTGATCACTCAACCATTGCGACGGACTGGTGGGGGCTCATCTTCGTGAATTGAGGGCAAGTTTTGGATGATGCAAGATCGGCGCATCGACAGATGGAGAAAGAGAGAGAGATTACCGAAACAGCAGGATGACGTTGCTGGTAAGCCTTGTTTGTTTTCTGCAGCTCTAGAATTTGTGTCGTTTTGATACATCGCATTTCCATGTCAAGCTTAGATTCAGATGGGTTGTGACGCTTGTTACGCATGAAGCATCTCCAAACCTATCGTTTTTTGCACGGCTCGCCAGGCTGCAAACATACTTGCACCGATTTTGCATCGGCGACGGGTTTACTTGAAGTCCGAGGCTTACACGCGGTTTAGGCTGTTTGATGCGGACCGTTGCAGAGGCTTCGCATGTGCACGCACAGGCCAGATCTGCTGCGACAAGTTTTGTGCCAGGTGCTCTTTTGCAAGGGCCGAGCACTGGGGCGGAGAGAGTGTGAAAGAGGGGGGGGGGGGGGGGGGGGCAGGGCGGCCGTAAAACGCATGAGGCAGCGAACATCGGCAGTCGACATTGACGGAAGGTTCTCATGCTTTGATGTACTTGTCCCTTCCTGCAAGAATATTGGTTGTTGGAATCGATGGTCGTGGCAATATGGCTGAGAGGAACTCCGCTGGCTTGCGCGGTGGCCGCGGGTGCCCCAAGTGCCACGCACCACCATGTGATTTGGCTGGAAATGTTGCAGTGTTGCCAGATTACATGCACGTTCGCTTCCTCGGTTTCATCGAAGCGGTTGCAGGTTTGTGGTGGGCTGCTCCTGCATCTGCAGGGCTCAATGCGCTGTTGGGCAGCGGGTGTAGCTACTCCGAAGCAGCACCTTTGCTGAAGACGTTGCAAGATGGCATTCTTTACATCACCCTCCGCGGCTCGACTCGAGCAGGCTGCGTTTACTTGTCGATGACGACATGGCGCAGGCATTCTCTGTTCATCCAGTGCGTGTAAGCACGAAACAGTCTGCAGGCACTGCTGGAAGACTGCAAGTCAGTGGACACAGTGTCGGTGCACTCGGAGGGCTGCAGATATCTTTCACTTGTGACAAGTTCGGCTAGGATCAGCGAGAATCAGCATGTACGGTCTCCACATTTGCTCGCCGCTTGCTCAAACGCGTGGATATTAGCATTTGAATGCAGGCATCATGGAAGATGTGGATGTACGGCATCCCTTTCATTTGCACAGAAGCACATGCATCGACACTTCTCAAATCATCCACATGAGAAAGAACAGTTGCATCAGCCAGCTGTGTGAGTATGGCCATCATGCGGGGCCCACTGCCGACTTGTGACAAACAGCTGCTGGGCATGCATTCCGGTGCTTAGTCAATCTCGCTAGGGGCATCGTGTGCAAGTCCTATGGCTAGGACGTGGCGGCAGTCTGGAAGACCACTCGTAAAGTCATGAGATTTTGGGCGCTTTTGCAGCTTATTGTGGCATTACATTGGACAGGTTTTACTTGTTTGACTGTGCAGCTGCACTGCGAGAGCGATTGCCTGTTGCTTTGCACGTGTAGGACAGTGTAGGAGTAGGATTAGTGGTTGAAGGCAGACTTATGGAATAGGGAAGTGGTTGGTTGAGCTGTCGGCTAGGCATGAGATGATCGGAGCCGGAGATGATGGGAGATCCTCTGGTTTTGGCGTGCCGACGAGGAAGCGCACTTGTCTCTTGGAAACCTGATGTCGCCACGAATTTTCCTCGGAGGATCGGAAGCCCTCCCGGAAGATCATCTTTTGCGGATGCATCTTGGGTCCAAGTTGGCCCAGCCAAGAGACTACATGATCAAGGTCACGCCGTAGGTAGCGAAGGAGTGGGTCGAAGTTTAGGCATCCCGGTCCTTTGACACTGTCCCTCTTCAAGCTCTTCATGCAACGCCCTCACTCTCCTGAGGTGGTCAGCAACGTCGTGTCCCAGAACGGCTCTTCAGCTCATAGTCGGGGAACCTACTTTGCTGGGGCTGCATTGCGTGGGCTTAGCTTGATTCCCGGTGATGCGTGTGGACGATAAGTCCGAGCGCATGGTCAGGTGTTGCCAGGGTATTCACTTCAGATTCCGCATATTTCAGCTGCGTGGAAAGTGGCCTCGACAGGCCGATATCGAATGTGTCTCCAGCTTACAGTCATGCAATGCTTGGCAGGGAAGTTCTTGGAAAACGCATTGGGCCGCGACCTTACTTACTTTCACTGAGCGCTGCCTCGAGCTGTGTATGGAGAAACTCAGGTTGGAGTTCAAGATGTTGGAGATGCTCCCCCGCTTCTTCTTCTTCGTTGCTACTCGGCAGCATTTGGAGCAATGTTGTCAACACGCAGCTTGGAGAGTGTCATGCCAGGTATGCTTCTGCTTATTCATTGCGATCCAGCAGACCCTTGTCTACAGACTGATACCATGTCCTAGCTGGGGGCAGTAGGTGCACCATGGAATGTCGGAGACTGCAGGGTAGAGTACGATCCGACGAACTTCTCTGGCATTCACTTGCGCTTGGCCGACCATTTCCACTTGGACACGGCTCCTGGGCTCGGAGTTCTCCTGTCGACCGACGGGGGAGACGTCATTAAAAAATAACCATGCCTCAATTTGCGAGTAACAATATATGTGAAAGAGTCCCGAGAAATGGACGAGCAGATCATTAGGCCATTTGTGGCTTGAAGCTGTCAGCTTCAGTGACATGTGGCTTGCGGATGGTAGCACTGCTTCCGTGGCAGGTCCGTGACGCGCAGATCATCTGATTATAGGCTGTTCGCTATGGTTGGAGAGAGCATCTCAGCGGTTGAGAAGTTCAGGTATTCGGTATTCGGCAGATCCCCGAGCTCATCGAGTACCTCGACACGTTTGTAGTCTCCAACGCGACTTGGCGACGCGAGTGCTACCTGTTGTTTACTTGCTGAAAAGTATCGGGATGAAAAGTCATGAACGTATTCACGTTGGGCTGGGCAGAGCAGAAGAAAGAAACCTGCAGAGCTGAGTACAAAGCCGTTTCACAGGAAGGCGGATTGAACCAATCGGCCGGTCAATATGACAGAAGCATGATCCGACTACGAAAGAACCCCCAAAACGGCAATGTTGCAGCAGCCGAAAGTCTCGCAAGCCTTCATCAGTTCCAGGCGCAACTAGATCCGTTGAATATATACCACTGGTGTGCCGATGACGAGACGATCCCACTCCCTGTGCCATGTCAAGCATTGGCACAACGATTGTTCGAGTTGTTTTAGATCCTTGGGTTTGACTGGAGCAACAGTCAGCCGAGTTGTTGCAGAAAGGCCTAGCTGCCTACTTGAACCATGGACATGCCTTTGTGTTGCATAGTTGTTGCAGCGTGGCAGTCTGCTGCTCGATGGCGTCACAAATATGCATAATCTCAATATAATGTAGCCTCACCGTAATTGTGACGAGTGCTTTCATACCTCGAGATTGCATCCGGTAGCACTAGCAGTGTCGCTGCCCCGCTTCGGCTGAATCTTGGGCCTGTAGATGTATGGTGTTGACGGAGAGCCTTTTTGATGATTCGGATGTGCAGGTGAACAGGATCCGCTGCAAGAGAGATGAAGGCAGTGCGGGCACCGGTTTGTTGGGGCCAGTCACATGGGTTATCACTCAGACTTTCACATTGAAGTTCTTCTGAAGCTCTCACGCAATGCAGGAAGTCTAGAGGACAAAGCCTTCCTTGAATCTCGGATTGCATGAGCGATGGAGCTCCATTTCTTTCAAGCCTGTGGTCTGATCCGATGTAACATGCATGGCGTTGGAAAACGGTTTCTGTCAGCAGCCATGTCCAGTTTCAGTGGTGAGGATCACTACAACGTGTACAACAAGAGGATCCAGGATGCAGAGAGCACCTTGTCCAAGCCAGAACATGATCACACTGTGTCAAAGTTTTGGCGGATGTAAAAATGTCCAAGGTGATGCTTTGATGAGCATGGTTCAGGACGCCATGCCATCATGAAGCTCAATTTACTTTGCAAAATCCCTCTATTGTTTTTTGATTTTAGTTTGATTCCGGCAGAGGCTGTTTGGCAGCTTTGCTCGGATAATTTTTCTCCCTGGTTTGCTGCTTCGTTCCAAGCCACATGGGTGGTTGTCAAAATTATGGCACCTTTTGGGTACCCTAAATATTAGGTGCCAAAATTATAAGAAGGACCACAAAAAGGGACCATAATTTTGACAAACGCCCCCATAAGGATCCCGACTCTTGACCCTCAGTTAATCCGGCTTTCATGTGGTTTAGGGTTTCAGACGGTTTCAGGGTGTTTGTGGAAAAAGGGCTTGAGGCGAAGATCCTGGTGACTAGTAGCTTCGGAAAGTTTGTCACGAGTCTGGCCGACAGGCCTCCACAGCTCCGCTTGGGGAACTTTGGCCCTGCAGGAACTCCGGCAGTTTACCATGAGCTGCTCGGCCAGGCGGCTGGAAGAGGCGCAGGACCTCTTGAAGCCACAACTTCTTGTTCTGTATCAAGTGGAAAGGCTTGCAGTGCGCCATGACAACTCTGTCGGATTCGCTTTTCTTCATGAGACGTGCATACGGGGGGGAACCAGGAGAAGAGCAACGTCACTGGTGCGAAGTCGCCCAAGGCGCCACGAAAGCGCCCTTCGGCTACAAACAGCATAATAACATAATATATGTGTTGCAGGCATGGAAAGGATTGGGTCCAATTCAGGGCTTGTGGTTTGGATGTATGCCATTGCCACATCTCAAGATTTGTTTGTAGTCTTCGTTCCAACAAAGAGGATTGAGGAATAAAGGCAGTCGAACTTCAGAAGTTGAAGAGCAAGAAGTATTGCCGCTCCCGTGTGTTGCAGCTCTTAACCTCCAAGCACTCAGAGTCTGCAAGGTGAGATATCAGTGCCGTTACGATCCCCGCACATGGCATCGAAGGAAGCAGACTCCTGCACTGATTCATGGGCTGTTCTGGGAAGAAGCGCAGGCAAATAGACCAGTCTGAGAGAGCGGCCAGAAGCGGCGCTTTCCTTTGCTGCTTTGTGTTTGCCAGCAAAGCTGCCAGGAGTGATGCAGGAGAGTTTGTTGGCTATGCCCGAGTTGTCGGATCGAATCTCGGGGATTTCAGCCGCCGAGGTCTGGACAACGAGTTCCCTGCACCCTCTGGCGAACACATCAGGAATCGTCGGCTTTGCTTCTGGGCTATTACGGCCAAATCCCGATAGCTTGTCCCCAACTTCGTCCAGTCCTGCTTCGCGAACTGCACTGTCACCGTAAGTTACATGGCAGAGTGAATAAACTTTGGCATCTTCTCTGACTATGGTCTCATGTGGGACTATGAATCACTAGGCTCCCACCCGTGGGTTGTTGTGATTTCCTGTTGTTGGCCTCTCTGGCAAGGTCTTTACTCAATAATCAACGGTTCATGAACTGAAACACTTGGATGCAATCCACTTCACCGGGATATCCTAGTGGCTACTGTTATCAGCAAGTCAGATTTTTCAATCAAGCTGATGTCGCAGAGTGGAGCCTAGGCCCTGAATGGGGTTCTGTTGATCGGAGCCCATCACGAGCGTGGCCATGCAATGCCAACTTCTTGGCCACGCTCTTAGTATACAGGCGATGAGTACACATCATCCATCCAGTGAATCATTGACTCCGTGCCGTCTGTGTGCTTCTGCAACCACCGACGCCTCACGAAAGGCACTTCGACGACTGCGGCGGGCACGTGGATGTAAGTGGACGTTACCACTATCATTTTCCACCATCCTGCTATTTGTCGGATCAAGGCCCCGTGCCCGGAGAGCGTGGTCGGTGTTCCAAATTGAAGAGGTTCAGTTGTCGCAAATGGCCCCCCCCCCCCCCCCCCCCGCAGGGCCTCGTGATGGATCTCTCATTGGGGACAGGGAACCTTTATGGGCTTGGGCGAAGTTTCATCGGGTTCAGATCTCAGTTTTCAGGCCATCTTTAACGGGGGTCAAGTGTACCTTGGTCCAACACTCCGAAGGTCTGGTGTCTCCTGGTCGACCGGACTGGTGGACACAACCGGTGCCATGTCGTAGAGTGGTAGATTGGTTTGGTTGTCAGGTGTTTGCTGGTGTATCTTCAGGCAGTTTGGGCTTTCCATCGAGGTCTTCCACAATTGAGGGTGCCGTAGGAGGGATAGGCCACGACACACAGTTCCGGGACAAGGGCTGGCCCTGTATTTGGCACAACTGCCAGGACCCACTTGCTTTCTGGCCGCTGCTGTCGAAACCTTCGCCTGTCGTTGGCTACGCTTTGGACTGGCCTGGTCAGATTGGTTGAAGAATCAAGGGGTTGCAGAATCAAGACGCTTTCTTGGGAAAGGATGGTGCAACTGATAGACTCCTTCCTTCCAGGACGGCATCCCCATCCGTGGTCCTTACGGGCTCGATGGACGTCTGGTTAACAACAGCGAGCTGGACGAGTGCAACGGACGATCAGTGATGAACGAGCTTCGGAATTCAGTGGCAATATTGTCTTTTCGATGCGGTGCTGTCAAGGCTTCAAGCTTAAAAATAGAGCTAGCCACGGCAAGCCTGTGCGCTTCCGACGAACAGTCCAGGAGAATGGTGTGCAGGACGGGCTTCAGCTCTGGTGAGCAAGACTCGTTGGCAGCAGCAATCGAAGAGTTAGCCAAGCCGATGCAACAGTCCGTACCGGCAGGAATACCACTACGTTTGGTCCGTCTCTGAGCCGTTTCTTCCCCAGTGTTTCCGGCTACGACCTTCCCAGGCTTGCATGGTTCGTTGGACACTGGCATGCGGACAGCAGTGCCACACATGAGATGTTCAGGATTTTTGCGACTAGAGCCTCTAGCTTCACTTCACTGCCGCACCGCCGGTAATGGCCTAGACTGTGTGGACCAGTACAAGGGCTTCGCTTTTGGATGCGCAGCCTTGACAGGTAACGTGGAAAGCTTCTACGGGCCTTTTGCTTGCAGCTGGTTGGGCAACTGGTTCAGCTTAGCGTACAGTTGGCAGTTTGCAGAAGCATCTTCCAGGCATGCTTTAGCTGCAGAGTGTTGAAGTTGAAGAGCAAAACCCGAATCTCCGTGTAAAAATCGCACAGCTTAGCCTGTGTCACTCGCTGTTCTTCAGCAAACTCCGTTTTGTGTAGCCTGCTTGTCCAATGCTGACAGCTCATGCCTGCTCAGATCTCTTGCAACTTTCCCGATTGAGGCGACACCTGTCGTGTACAGGGAGAGCCAAGCTTAAGTGTGGATGCGCCCAAAGGGACGCACCTCAGCCAAGACTTGGAGCATAGATATGTTTGGCCAATAGGGGGCTTGGGTCCTCAACCGTTGTATGATTCATTCGTCGATCGCGTTTTCCAGAGCTGAGTTGGGCAAGGGGTGCATATGCCTGCCTGAAGCTGACTGAGAGGTGACTGTTCCTATTGCTATTATTGCTGCGAATACATTTCTTTGTGTGCGCGGGATTGCCGAGAGTTCCTTATCGGCCTCGATGTGTGTTGTTGCAGATTGCATCTCTAGCTGAGTAGAGTGTGAACAGGTTTCGACTCAGTCCCACAAAGTTACAAAAGCAGACGTGTCCTTCCACCCACTGCATGAACAGACAAGGCTTGCAGGCAAGCAGAGAGCAGTGTCTGCGAGAGAGCAAGAGTAGCGAGTCTCCCACGTGTCTTACGCAGTCGTCATCGTCGCCGTGGTCGTCAGGGCCGTTCCTACCGCTGCCATCTCTTTGTCCAGTGAGTTCACATGTTTCCGGTCTGAGCAACTTTTGACATGTCTGGTTCGTCATGGCACACCATTCGCATCTTTCATCGAGAAGCTTTCTCATCTCGCTGACCATGTTTTCCTCCCTCCGAATGGGTTGGAACTTCGTTTTGATACGAAGCCGTATCCAAGTTCCTAACCTAAGCAGGGAACTCGAGGAAGGATGATCACTTGTCGTCCTTATTCCCCTAGCTCCCTGTTTACCTCAATGTGGGTTCCAGTTCAGTCCATTGCCAGCAGAATAACAGGAATGCGAGACATGCCAACGCAACAAAGGAAAGAGGAGAGACGAAGGTTCCAACTAGTTCGGAGTCAAGAAGATGTGGATCGGTTCTCACAATCTTGAAGATTAACACGGAGGCTCGCGATACAGCAGTTGGAGGCCCGCGTACTGACAGGTAAATGCAAACAAACAAATTCGCGTGGGGCTGGGAGTGTGCATGTGTGCAGAAGCGGAGGCAGTTGATGCAAAGACATAGATTATTCTGATTACTATCAGCTCAAAGAGGGAACAAGCTGGAGCAGCACTGGTTTGACTCGTTAAGGCTTGCTCGGGCTTTCATGACGGCTGTGAGGCATGGATTTGGTCGTACAAAAGTTTGCGAGGCTGGGATTTCTATAATTTAGTGTGTCGGCATTCATGTATGTAATCGTATGCCGGTGTAGGCCGCCCTCCCGGAGGCCTTGTCCACTGCAAGCGGGGTTTTGGAATCTGGTGAGCGTGCCAAGGTCCAGCAAAGCCGAATGGCTTCTCCGTTCCCATGGATGCCCAGACCATGTTTATTTCCACAACCCAACAAAGGTTGCGAGGGCATCTCGGATGTTCCAATCGTTTGTTCAATTGAGATTGAGACGCTTGCATGCTTGCTGGTCTGCACAGTTCGGTCATTTGCCCAAAAGGTTCCATGCATGTGTATCAAGATGAGGTCGCAGAAGTTTTGGACAGCTTGAGCTCACGCTTGCTGTCTGGGGCTGCTTGGCTTGTGGTGTTCGGAAGCTTTGTCGTTTTGTTGTTCAGGAGCTAGCGTTCCATTTGTGTCCCCGAACCAGTTAGACCTCCTTACACTTTTGCTTTGTCCAAAAATCCTTGTGAGGTGAATTCAACAGGATGCTGTGCAGCCAAGTGCCTGACCTTTTTTTGGAAGCATGTTGCTTTTCCTTTTCGCAAAGCCCATGAATTCGTTCTGTTAGTCCTGCTTTCATGAGTGGGGCTCGGAGCGAAACTTACGAGCTGCGCTTGGAACTCGAAGTGAACTGTTCAAGGGCCCATGTTTGCCGCTTCCAATTGGCAAAACAAGAGCATTCGAGGTCCACTTATCTCTGGCAGTTTCCGTTGTCATTGTTTTGCGTACGAAATTTATTGCAACCCGCGCTTCAGCCCGTTTCAGGGTAGTACTTGTAGGGGTGTTGGCTGTGCTCAGTTGCACCGGCTGCTCCAGCTGCTCCGCAACTCCCAACAGTGCCAGGCCTGGCGGGAGATGCGCGGAAACATCAGAAGCAGGATTTCCGCACAGGCTATACGTGTTGTAGGGCCGCCTGGCAATCCCGCCCCGGAATCCGACGTTCAACATCCAGTCTTAGTTACGTATCAGAGAACGTCGGCGTCCCTGGCTGCGAAGCTTCTGTGTTTCTTTTTACCACCCTGCAGCTGTTCTGGTGCTGGCTCGTGCTCGAGCTGTTCCGCTGGTTGCTCGGTGAGCTGCGAAGCCACGAGGTTGGACAGTGATTGGGTGTTACCATGTCAGGACTTTCGACGAGATGATGTTGATGTCCAGAATGTTCTCAACATGTTATGTGTCAGAGAGTGGCCTGCGGTCCGCTGTTGAACGATAGGTTGTCAGTGATCGCCCACACCTTGCCCCGCACAGCTGCATAGTTTGTTTTTCTGAACTCCACCCTGCAGCTGCTCTGGTGGTGGCTCGTGTAGCGGCTGCTGTGTCGGCTGCAATGGCGGGTGCGACGCTGGCAGGCTGGCGCTATTCGCTGATGTGTGTTTTTGCAAACGATTTAAGATTTGATGTCTGCAGGCCAAGGCAGGAGATCCCGCGGTCTGACTTCTGAATCTTTTTTAAGACCTCGACTGAACGATCGCCACTGTTTCTTATGAGAAGCAACACAGAAGTTTCCACAGCTTTCCGCATATGTTTTGTCAAACTTTGGCCCACCTTACGGCGGAAGCCGTTCAACCTGCCTTGGAGTTGCCACCCATGTTCTGCGAGCAGGTGTGGCACAGGCTGCTTTCCGAAAGAGTCAAGCTTTGGTTTTTGGTGCAGAGTGATTTCAGGCTCTCGCGAATTTGCGTCGAAAGTTTAACAGTTGAGCTATCCTTCCCTCAAATCAGATAGCTCCACGGATGACAACGGCGCTACTGCGGTAAATTCTTGTAGATTGTGTGTCCAGGATGTCGAAAACTTCTAAGGACAGTGTGAAGGTGGGGGCGGTGCATACTGTGATGCTTGCGGCGCCTGTGGCGCTTGTGCTTCCTGCGGCGCCTGTGGTGCCTGTGGTGCCTGTGGTGCGTGGGGCGCCTGTGGTGCCTGTGGTGCCTGTGGTGCATGTGGTGCTTGTGCGGCTTGTGGCATTGTGGACATCTTCAATCCGTGCGACGCAGGCAGGAGAATTGACGGGAGTGAACTTGACATGGGTGATTTGTTTGCAGTCGTCCGATGGGTGCCATTTTGAAACAGCTTCTCAAGAGACGGTACTGTTTTCGTCTTGCGGCAGGTTTTGACACTGGGCCACCCAAGCCGCCTCCAAAGACCTTCGTGCGGTACCGTCCGTTCTCCATGACAGCTGCTTCTGTGCCCAAGCTTCATTATTGCAACGACTCTGTGGAACCGGGTCGGGGATTCCGTAACATCCGGCTTGGCCCCAGAGTTCTACGGCTCTGACCGGCCTGACAACTCCACATCCACATAATCACAGCTGCTGTAGTCGCTTGAGGCTTCCTCGCGTTGCCAATCCAAGGTCGGCTTTCCTTTTATATGTCAGTCACGCAACGTGGAGAAGGATTGCGAGTCGAACTTTGTGGACAGCTTCAACGCTCAGGCAGCTATGTATTTGCCCAAAGTGTGCTGGGGTGTCAGGGTGTGTTGCAACGATTTTCTGCAAGATCCAGCATTGCCATTGGCTGATTTCCCAGGTGGCAGGTTTCTCGCATTTCTATCTTGCCAGCCATCCTTGGGGGTCTTTGTCTTTGCGGGAAGGGTTTGGCAGCGTGATGGCAGGTAGTTTGGATTTGCTTCTGTGTGGTTCTGATGCCACGCACTTCCGGTAGCAAGCCCCCGATCGGTAGCTATAGCAGCCAGCTTGCCGCGAGCCATCACAATCTTGCTCGCACAAGCGAGGCAATTAGAGAGTCAGAGTTTTTCCTGCAACGGAGTTCACAGATGATGCTCCGTTTCGCAATCCTTTGAAGCCTGGGGGCAGGACCCCAACCCCGTCTACCGGGAGCCCATGAATGCGCCCCGCAACTCGAGCATCCTCCGCTGCCGCGGGGAGGAGTGCCCTGGCCCGGGATCAGGGGAGGGCTCAGGAAGTCTTCAGAGGATCCTACCGAGCAAAAAGCCGCATGACTTCGCCATCTTGTCGAGTCTTGCTCCTAGATGAAGCTTTGTCGGACATGTTACCGGGCCTCGCTTCGTTTTCTCGCACACGTCCCATGTTTCTCGACGCATGGCAACAACCTCTTGAAACAATCAAGTTCAAGTTCTGAGGCACAGATTCACATGCAGTCCTTGATGCCCTTAGAATCCCGAATCACCATCGCAATGAAGTTTGCCGTATTTCTTCAGAGCGTTGAGTCGCAGACAGTGAAGTTATGTACAGCACACTAACTCCTGCTTGTGACTCCATATGCACTGATATCTCGCAGCGCTTGAGCCCGAGTGAAAGGCCGATTTCTTAGTTTGGTAGCGGAGCTTGCTCCGTGTAAAGCCAAGCGACCCAGGGGCTACCGAGAGCGCCATAGCTCTGCGCTGCCTTCGGCGGCGCCCCTTCGCTAACACTATTTTCAGGACGTCGCCGATTACCTGTATAGTGGTTTGGTTGCTCCTGTGGAAGACGGGCATCGCTGTGCCCAGCAACCAGAAATTCGAAGCTGCATCTGGAGCAGCAGGAGTTCTCTCCCACGAGCACTACGAGCACCACGACCCAGAGCTCTACGTGAGCCACGTCAAAGACCTCTTTCTCCTTGAGTTTTTCGATTACCAGTTTTTCCTGACTGACAAGGCAACGAGCGAGGACTACCTGAACACGCCGGCGGAAGGAAGTAACTTCAGTGGAGACAGCAGCTGCTTGGTTGGCTACTTCGAGGACTACAACAGCCGCGGCGCCTACTACACGAAAGACCTCGGCACCTCCTACCAGACTGGGAAAACCCTCTTCTTCCTCGTCCAGTACCTCGGCACGATGGCGGAAGCACCGAGCTCTTCAGGAGGCATTCCCCTTCATGAGTTCAGAAGGGAAGTTCCTCCAGGATGGGCACCAGGTTTGCCCGACTACCCTCTTCGCACCTACTTCGAGCGGTTGAAGCTTTGGTACAGAGTGTTCGATGGAGCAGACGAGACAGTGGGGCCACTGGTAGCGGGCAGGCTCCAAGGAAAAGCACAACGGCTCGGCATGCAGCTCAGATTGCCGAGGCCGGACGGCACCGTGGACATAGGATCGGATGCTTTGGTTCGGTTGTCGGTGGAGGAAGTGAGGGACCCTATGGACCCCTCCATAGTGATACAGAGGGCGATTCCCTCTGGAGTCCAGGCTCTGTGCAACGCTCTTCGGGACGCCTTCGGCTTGAGTGACCAGGAGTTGGTGAGCAAGAGCATTGAAGAGTTCTTTGAGTTCAAGCGAGGAAAGCTCAGCCTGGCCGAGTACAGCATAGAGCGGGACGCCAGGTTGGAAGAAGCCACAACGAGAGCAGGCTTGGACCTCAATGACGTCGGGAAGTTCTACCTGTTCTTCCGTGGAGCTGGACTTCCCCACAAGTTCGTTGAGGACATCAAGCTTCAGCTCCAAGGAGACTTGCGTCGATTCCAGGAAGCACGAGGACTCGCCCTTCGGCTCATCACCCGCAAGGACGAGCACGGGGATCACTTCTACATGGACCCCGAAGATGGAGACGGCTATGAAGCGGATGATGGCTGGCAAGACTCTTACTGGGCCGATGAGGGCTGGTCCTGGATCGAATCTCCTGGACAAGACTACTGGACCGACGACACCGAGGCCTACTACGACCACGATCTGGACTCCTGGTATGAGTCGGAAGGCCACTGGATGGAGCCTGGATACGACATCAACTACGAGGAACCCCAGGACTACCACGAGAACACAGAGACCTCGGCAGCCACGGAGGAACCCACGTCACCCTCCATGGCAGAAGCATATCCAATGAAAGGCGGCAAAGGACATGGCTGCTCAATCTGCGGTTCCAGGTGGCACTCAGCTGCATCGTGCCCTGTCGGAAGTGCAAAAGGGAATGCACCCAAGGGCGCATCCAAGGGCTACGGCAAAGGCTACGGCAAGAGCAAGGGCAAGGGCTACTCCAAGTCCAAAGGCAAGGGCAAAGGAAAGGGCAAGTGGCAGCCGCGCTTCAAAGGCAAAGGAAGGCACAAGGGCTACCACGGCTACTCCGAGAAGACCTTGTCTCAGAGCTTCAACGTCGGCAAGACTTCGTGGACTCCGGAGAAGCCCGCCAAGACCGTGCACTTCCGCATGGACCACGAGGACAGCACCCCGATCATCAACTTCAAGGTCAGGAAGGAAGCCAGCAGCGAGCAGTCCAATGTGGAACAGCCCGAGACCGCGCAGGACAGCAGCGCATCCAAACGGCTGGACTTCACCTTTGCGACCTTTACCACGGAGGTCTACAGTCAGGACGCCTCCTTCCATACGGTTCGTGGCGAGAAGAGGCGTGGCCTACTCGTGGATCCAGGCGCAGCGTCAGGTCTGATCGGCAGTGAGACATTGAGAGATCTGATGGAGCACTGCGTCGGTCAAGAGGAGCTGAAGGCAGTGAAATGGTGCCGGAGGCGACTCTGGGAGAAGTTCACTTGCCGTTGAACATGGGAGGATCCCAAGGACGGTTCTCTGCAGATGTTCTTGGAGGTGAAGGATCATTGTGCCCGGCGTTGCTATCGAACCCAGCATTGCGCAAACAACGGGCAGCAATCCTTTGCGACTACTTTGCCAACGGCGACGGAGTCATGGTAGTGCCAGGCGGTGACGCCACAGACAACAAGCACGGCTATGACAGCAAGCAGTGGCACTATCTCCGGCTGCTGCTTACCGACTCAGGGCACTACCTCCTTCCAACAGACGATCAGCGAGAAGTCTCTCGCAACACCAGGAATGACGTCGAGGGCCACATGTTCACTTGGTCCCGAGAGATCGAGGAGAAGTGGAGCAACGTTCGTCACTGTTTCCTACTTCGGAAAGATGGACGAGATAGTCGGGAACGTGAGCGGTGTGAAGTCGAAAAGGCCAATGTGATCTTGGCAAAGGCAGACTCGAATCCACTGGAGACTACCACCTCGACTACCTCTGCGGAGAACTCTCCAGCCTCAACCTCATCTACTACGACAACTTCGTCAATCACCACGGCTAGCGAGAGGACCCCCACTGCGGAGAGCTGCGAAGATAGAGATAGCGATGTTTTGGCAGGCTCGAATCCGAAGACTACCACATCTACTACCTCTGGTAAAACTATGAACACAGCTACCGTGCAGTCCTGGTCCGTCTTTGACACAGCTACCGTGCAGTCTGGGTCCATAACGTCAGGAGTCAGGGTCGACATCTCTCACCCTGCACTTCCTGGCAAACCGTTTCTGGATGGTCCTTCTTCCAAGACGACGGCACTGCCAGAACTAGACTCATGGTCTCAAGAAGGTCAATATCTGGTGCGACACCACAAGACTCCGAGGAGGATGCTATTCACTCCGGCTTGTGCGACAGACTGCCCCGTTGGCACCTCAGAGCTCCTGACAACCAGGACCACCTACGTCAACTACATCCCGCGAAGGAACGAAGTGGTCATGCAGGACGATTGGAAAGGTGCCCGCACGCCGAACCGTGACTTGGAGCATCTGTGGACAGGCCGCACCATCTTCAAGCTCAAGAAAGTGAAGGTTGTCGACCAGGAGACCACCGGGAACACCGTGATGGACACCTTGGATGCCAAGGACTTTCCACACTACGATGGTGACATGTTTCCTGAGCACTGGAAAGAAGAGCAGAAGGCGGCAATGCAGGAGAAGTACCGGGCCATCCCGGAAGAGTTCTACACCAAGTCCGGGAGGAAACCGGTGACACCGAAGAACCTGCGGCCATGGTTGGCCGCTGCTGCCAACAAAGGATTGCGCTGGCAATTTTGGGAACTCTGTTCAGGCAGTGGCAGGTTAAGTCTACTCTTGGCCACGGCATCCATGATGGTGGGGTTCCCAATCGATTTCAGGTATGGATGGGATCTCGGACATCCAGAGCACCAGTCTTTGCTGCGTGAGTGCTATCACGAATTTCAGCCAGCGCACATCTTTGGATCTCCGTCCTGTGCTCCCTGGTCGATCGTCGATCGCTTCAGCCTCAAAGGATCGCGAGACTCGTCAGATGGAGCGGACTAAGGAATTGCCGACACTGGAGTTTCTTCATGAGCTCATGCTGCACCAGCACAACAGTGACAGGGGCTTCAGTCTGGAGCAGCCTTATGGATCGGCAATGCTTACGGACAGTCCGGTCTCTCGTCTTCGCGATGTGGCAGGCGTGCGAGTTTGGCGAACAGACCAGTGCATGCTTGGTGCCAGAGATGAAAAGAACCAACCGGTTCGGAAATCAACGGCTCTTCTTAGCAATCGTCGATGGAAGCAGGTGATCAAACGTTGTGACAATCATCGCGGACTTCCTCATGGGGTTCTTCAGGGCCAAACGCGCGGCATCAATCGCACGGCACTGGCAGCAGTCTATCCAAAGCGGATGTGCCAATTGTACGGCCAGGATCTGTGGGCCATCCTGCGGAAGGACAAGGCTCTCAGTTTCAAGCGGTGGACTCCAGAGCTTCTCTGGACTCACTCCATGTTCTACTCATGTGAACGGTGTCAACTTGGCCGAGCTGCGCCGCCAGGCGTGGAGCACAACATGATTCCGGGACAATGCCGCTATGGACAACCTGGAATGCGTCGCGCCAGAGCCGCGGCTGCGGCAGAGCCAGCGGCAGCACCAGCCGCACCTGCTGCACATGATCCACCACAAGCTCCAGCGGAACCACAACGACTGCCATTGTCAACCGCCCCGGGGCCGGACACCACAGACTCCTCTGCTCTTCCTCAACGAGCCGATTTGGAGTCATCTACTGGTCCTTGGAAGTTCCTGGCCCTCAGCGGTGACTACTCACAGGTGTCTCTGGAATGCGATCGAAGCGTTCCACTGGGGCCGGAAGACAAGCTCTACCTCAAGGCCGCGTTGCTGGAAATGTTGCGCACGTGCATCGACATCTTCAACAAGCGCACCAGCGTCG